AAGTTGATAGTAGAAAATGAGTGAAAGGATAAAAAAAATTATTTTAAAATCATACAAAAGTACTTAGAGATAGAAGAAAGAAACAACTTGTATAGAAAAAGTAATAAATTCTAAATTAATCTTATATAGCATGTGAATAGCAATTAGATGAATATTAATTTTAATGTAGAAGACTATTAAAATTCTACATAAATCACTTATTAAAAGAATTCCACACTTTAGTTGTATAAATTAAAGATATTTGTATATTATCTTAGTTTTTATCTAAATATTTTTTTTCTAATTTAAATTGCATTACTACTTAAAAATAATAATAAAAAAACCATCAACTTTTCTTGCATTTAGTATAAGAAATATACTCAAGATGCATTTTAAAGAAAAAAACATCATGTTCTTTATACATGCTCTTTTTAAGAAGAGATTTTATTTTCTTCTTTTCTCTTCAACTTAAATAGTATTAAAATTTTTATTATAAAAAAATTTAAAAATAAATCATCAACTAAAAAATAAAATTACAAAGCTATCTCAATTTGTATTATACTTAGATATAAAATTTTATTTCTTTAGAAATACAAGCTCTATAATACAATAAATTAAGAATTAAGATACATGTAATAATTTATTATAGTTTTCTATTGTTTAGAAGTAATTCTATAATATATTAAAAATTTAAATAGAATAGAAATAAAAGAGTATAAATTTTGATCTTTTTTAAAATTAAATATTTAATAATCAATATAGAATTTCTAATAGGTAATAGAGTTTTTTTAGATAAATATTAAAAAATATTTTAAAAAGATTATTAGAAGTATATAATATTTATGCATAAAGAAAGTATAAAAAAAACTAAATTTGAATTGAATTAAGAAATCTATAACCAAAAAATTTAATATGTATTTTTGAGATGATTGAAATATAAGAAAGAAGTTAAAATATAAGTAATTTAACTACAATAGATTATTGTTTGAAGACAAAGCTAATACATAGAGCTATTTTAAGTCAAAGATATAGGTAGATAATAAATTATTGTCCTAAGTAGATACTTAAGATTTTTATGGGGTAATCATAGAAATGGTGTTTGTGTACTGACAAGACCAATTATAATCTATATTAGAAACTTGTCTTTTACTTATAACATTGTAATAAGATGTTATATAAATTTTTTTTTGTATTATCAAATAATTTTTTTATTAATTTTTTTATTTCAATTTAACTTTTAAAATTTAAACGTCTTTTTTTTAAAATAAAATATATTATTTTAATTTATACTATCAATAATTCTAAAATCTTAAATAATTTAAGAATTGAATCATAAATTTATTAAATATATTCTTTAATACATTATTATTTTAAAAATAAACTTAAATATTTATTAAATGTATTCTTTAAAAATATTATTCGAAAAATAAACTTAAATATTTATTAAAATTCCACAAAACTATTCTCATTTTTTTTTTAAAAGCTTCAAAAAGGTTAAAATTTAAAGAGACAATAGAAAAATTCATAAAATCCATTGAATAAATCTTTAAACCAAAAATATCTATAAATTCCAAAAAAATTCTAAATTCAATTAGAAAAATTTAAAACAAGCTACAAGAAGAAGTTAGAATTTGATCTTATATGCATTAAAAATTAAAAAGACATAAATTAAAAAAATGTATTTTAGACTATTAAAGATACATGATTATATTTTTTTAATTTTAAATTTATATGATAAAAATTAAAATAAGGTAAATAATCATTTAAAATTAATAAAGTATAAAAAATTCATATATTAATTAAATAAATTTAAATAAATGAAAATAAATAGAAATATGTTAGGTGGGTAATATATTTCTTAAAAAATACTGAAATAGCTTCATAAATGATAATAAAATCTTTAGATTTTTTAGTTATACTATGTAATCATTTAAACTTGGTATAATTTTTTATTTTATTTTTTAAAGCTACATTGTAAGAATACATGATTGTGTGTGCTTATCAAATTTTAAAAAAAGTAATCATGCTCAATTATACTACATTGAAAATTGATTTGAAACATCTTATCACATCAAATTAATTTTAAAATTAAAAAAATTGATTCTCTTTCAATTGGTATAAAAATTTATAAATAATTTCTTCTCAGTATTAGCATTCTTATATATTTATATTTAAGTCAAAAAATTATTTTGGCTTATTTAGAGAAAACAATATAATAATTTTATGTTACTATATTTAAATTTATTTTAAATTTATAAAAGTATAAAATATTATTATATTAAAATTAATTATTAATTAATAAAAATTACTTTATTTACTTATTACTAGCTTATATAAATAATCTATTATATTTATTATATTTATTAATTCTAATTTAAAAAAACTTAATAATTTATATACATATAATTTAGAAAATATAATATATTATTTATAATATATATAATTCAATTAATATATAACATAAAATTATAAATAAAATTTATAAAAAAATAAGATATTATTGACGCAACATCTTTGACTTATTGCATTGACAATTTGCAACAACCTTTTAGCACCTCTTTCAAAATCTATAGCAACATCATGAATCTTTTCTACTTCTTTAATCTTGACATGTTGCACTTGTAAAAAAATCTTTTTCTTATTTTTACTACTTTATTGCTCTTTTCTTTTGAAAAGCATAGACTTCCATCTTATATTACTACTTATGAGAATTTGCATACTAAACTTCTAAAATTAATGACTTTAAGTCAAATTGTGATTACAATGTGAGTAATGAAAAAAAATCATCTTACATATGCATCATTGTTTTATAATTGCACACCTACTTTACTTAATTAGTATACCATTATAACTCATTCTTTCTCTCTTTCATTAATAAATTCAATTGCCAATTGAGATATATTGTGCATTATGGAGGCAAGGTAACAATAACATATGTAAGAAGATAAGAACAATGATAATATCTAAGCATAGTTCTAAATTAGAGAGAGACCATATTAAGATCAGAAGAATGGGTATAGCTATATAATAAGTTCTTATATTACATGAAATCTTGTTTAAGAATATACCAGCCATTTTGCTATAGAATATAAATTGGAAATTGTAACAATAAGGTCCTCATAGTTTTAATAGAATATTTATTAAATTCCAATTTAACTTCAAAAATCTTTAGGATTTTATAAAAATTTGACCTAAAAAATAAAATATCTAAATAAATCCTAATCAAATCCTAATCCTATGTTGTATTGAGAAATTTGTTATCATGGATTTGATAAGGTTTTAGACCTTAGAATATCTGGTCTTGTTTCATAGTTGACTTCCTTTGCTAATCTTAATGCCAATCTTTTAGTATTAATATCTTTTGGTTTTATTATTTAATTACATTCAAACTTTTTATAAATATAAGTAATTAAGTTTTTTACTATTATACAACATTTTATCTCAATTCAACTAATAAATAGCTATAAATCTTAGAAACCATCACTGGTCCTTCAAACTCTAATTTCTAATACTCTAATTTACTTTATTTTTAATAACCTTCAAATGAATTGTTTGATTAAGTTCAAACTTACAACTCATATTTATTACAACTATGATCATACAATCACAAAAATTTTATTTCTAGATCTACTATTAATCTTCTAAAACTCTCCAAAGTATAAACCTTTTATATTTCTCAAAAAAAACAAAGTCACCTAAAAACAACCTTGACTTTGCAAAGCCTTTACAATCTCATTAGAAACTCAAATCACTCTAAATCAATGCACAAAAAACCTCTCTCTGGTCTGCTATCAAATCTTCTTTTTTAATCAACTAAAGAACTTCAAAATTGTAGTAGGTGCATAGTTTTGTGACTTGAGTTTAATTCCAATCTTAGTTCACAACCAATTCTCTTTGGGTATTAATTCTTGGTTTCTTGAGGCATTTTTTACTATAAATTATTTTTAACTCCCTCCTAAAGATGTTTATATTAATTATTTTTCTTATTTACTTTTTTTTGCTTCATTTATGGCCATACAAAGTAAGTAGAAGTTGATTTTGTAGAGAAGCAACATTAGCACTTACTAGTTTTATTATCTCCTTGACTATTATCTCTACTTCTGAAGTAATTTGCTACAATATTTTCAATTAAGTTCTTCTATAATATATATATATTTTTTTTTCTCTTTCACTTAATAGATGTGTTATAACATATCAACATGTACACTTATGGATGAATAAGAAGATCCAATCTCTCTCCTCAAAGCCAAAAGGTTGTTGGAAGATATTAATTTAACAACTCAAAGTTGTTATGTTAGCAATACTTTATAAATAAACTTATTAAAAATATATAATATGATATTATAGTGTATAATTTATATTATTAAAATATTATTACATATTATATAAAAAAATAATACATAGATAATATAATAATAAAAAATTAATAGTATAAATCAATGATATTATTTAAATAATATAAAATTTATTTAATTTAATGTCTATAATATATTGATTCATATAGGTATTCTTAATAAATTATAAAAAAATTATTTGTAATATATTTTTACTAATTTATTTATAAAATGCTAAAATAAAAAAAATATTTAGAGGCACTACACATTATGGCCGTTTGGTCAAGCAAACCTTAAAAAAATCTACTTGAAATTAAGCAAAAGTCTGAACCAAAATTGCCATAAAATGCTACCACATAAGCACTACTGATGAAAATGTTTGTTGGACATTTGCCTTCTAGTGTGAAGACCAAGCAATCATTTTTTATTTTTTATTTCTTTTGAACTCCACCAATCATATTACTGAAATCATTTGTTTGCTCAACAATTGGCCATAGTGTGAAGTGGCTATTAATATTGCAGGCCCTATCCCTAGTTGGTTTGGGTGAGAGCGTGCAGCTACAAGTTAGCCCAAAGTCCATAGACTAGAGCCACCTACCATAAAGCAAGGCCTGCACGGCAATAAAATGTAATGCCCACAAAAACACCTTCCAACCTGAGAATTCTTCATTCAATCGACCTTTAATGTGAATGTGTATATGCAGCCTTTTAGAATATTGACTTCTTCTTCAGGCTTAGCAAGCTAATACTCATTTTGAATTTAAAGAATTTTGTGTCTACATGTTCAGCAAAAGTGTTTTGCACAAAGTGATTCAATCGAAACCCGTTTGATAGGAGTGAAGAATGCAAAAAATTAGGCTTATGTACTGCTACTGTTTAGTGGCTTTTGATCAAGACTGCTCAGTAGCTTTAAGTGTTGATTAAACTAGAGTGTAAATTCATGATGGAAGACTCTGCTCTAGCTTCAATAAATTACGTTTGATGAAATGGATGCTGCATCAGAAGAGCAGCAAACCGCGGAGGGAAACCACGCAACCTAATTCGTTACAAAAGAAAGCTTCCTTGAAAATGCACAGACCGTCTTGATTGTTGATGCTACTGGAAGAGTGATCTTTGGTCTGGGTCAATTGGAAGCTCATGCTTACTATGAGGCGCAGCAGGAGTGGATCGACCCTGCAAGCAAAGTTATATTATGATTCAATTCAGTGAGAAGTCTCCTAGCATGACAAAGCATGACAATGACATGGGAGAAAAACACAAGCATGTAAGCACATGGAGGAATTCAGGAACATTCCTTGCGATATATGCTTATATATATATATATATATATATATATATATTTGTGGAGGGAATGGATTATAGATTTACTTTCTTCTTCTTGCTCCTGGTGCTTGTGACGCTCAATGGCGACGCACTTCGCTCAGCCGCAACGATATGGGCCTTCTCTTTTGCAATTTCGGACAGGCCTTCAGGTAATAGTGGCAGTAGGGGAGATAGCTTCTGCATGATGTAGAGTTTCATATCAGTATTTTCAACTGACAGGAAGCATACGTAAAAGTTGTGTAATCCTCTACAGTTCACAATGAACTGAACAATTACACGTGGTATTGCTCATTGCTAGGCTACTGACTAATCCATGAATACAATGTACTAACAAAGAATATTGCAAACCAACATCTCCATTAACCATCCAAAAAGTCCATGTATTCTTCGAGTTTATGAAACTTGAAACAAAGAAACCAAGCCTTGTCTTCATTGTAACCTATTAACCTGCCCAAACACAAGCTCCTCGTTGCTGAGGCCCTGCAACTGATAAAATTACATTCTAGGAACAAACACTAAATTTGTGAATCCTGTAGAGTTGATGATTACCTTGATGGCAAGTTGTCGTTCGTAGGCATTCAGCAGTGGCGTATACCAGCTCTCTAGCCTCAAGTGCGGGGGTCCAGGGTCCAAAACCGCTTTCTTCTTCGCCTCATACAGCCTGCATGCAAACATGATGTATCTTTTTTATACGGCTTTATAATATTCCGGTTAATCGTGAAGTAAAAATTCTAAGCAGAAATTCCCATAGTATTCCTACAATAAAATAGAGCTAATTTATTTTCTTTACTTCAGTAATTTGGGCAGTTCAATTCCATAATTTGAAAGAAAGCAAACCACCTTTTAAGTTTTTCCTCCTCCTGAACTTTCGAGAGAATTTCTGCCTCATCACGAGACTCCGATGTTTCGTCTTCTTCGGTGTAACTCGAAGTGGCTTTAGTGATGCTCAATCGGAATTCACGATTGGTGGTCCGAACTGGAGTGCGAGCAGTTGAAAACACTCCATCTGGATCCTGTCTTATCAAAGGCTGGATTAGATATGAAGGCTCCCGCGTCTTCCACGTGGTTGGAAACTTCACGTTCCAGAGACTATGCTGTCCAAATTGACCGATTCGAGCTCCTACTGAATTCCATAGCCGACTGGTCCCAAACAAGAAAACACGTAATCTGGTTAATCTATGAGCCAAAGATTTAAGCAATATTCAAAAGATCATGACCAGTTCGACGCAGAAATGTTGAAATCAATTGATTGGTTGAGTTCATCGCTCGATTACATACACTGTACCATATTTTGAGCAAGTCAGAATCAGATTATCGTTGTCTACAAAGCACAAACTGACCTGCACGACAGCCCCCTCAATTCAGTTTCGATTCGATTATATTTTACCTTCATCTTTCCCAAGTTAAACCAATCCTCAATGCATTGCTCCTACATGTACTATCCAGTCGTATAGGCAGAAAATATCTAATGCTATGCAGACAATGTGACATGGGCTCGTCAGGCACGACAGCTGAAGGTTAGAAGTTTTGTTTGGTTTAAATATGAATTACTGACGATGGGTTCATGGTGCGCTCGAAAGTCGAAAAGCAGTGGGGTTTTCGTAGGCTCGATGTCCTTCCTCGCAAAGTGACAATGAGTCAAATCCCATACCTTTACATAGCCCTTTGCATCCGCAGAAAACAGCATCTGGTAAAGCCCCATTATTAAAAGGAATCTTTAGTGCAGCCTTTGAAACTTATATCAGCACAAAGTGCAGGACAGACAGACTGTAATAAAACAACGAAAAATTCCAACCCACAAAATACATCCTGTATTAAGGAAACAATTGGTTTTAGTTTAAGTTTACAGTGCATTTCAAATCTGCTGCAATTGGCCCAGTTCCTCCATTATTGTCTGCAAAAAGTTCGTGTACCTGATTTGAAAGTGAATGAGCACCAAATCAAACCCAAAATAACATTTTCATGAGAAAGTTAGCTCAGGAAGTGAGCAAAGCGGATAAAACTTTAGATTTACAAGATGCAATCGATCTTCCATCCAAACCAGTTAAAATTGAGAATAGCCAATGCTAATTGTACCAGCTCTCCATCTTGCAAACGCCAGAATCGTAGCCAACCATCTGCCACTGAGACCACGATTGTTCTAACCTTTTAAACTCCAATTCCACATATTCAATCGTCAAGGTCAATCAATGCTAGCGGTTAACATAACCGAAATCACAACCAAAGAAACCTATTATGCAGCAAATTGGTCTGTAACGGCTCCAGGACGAGAGCAAGCTGACGACGTACTGCATAAACAAAGAGAACGTACCAAATCTTTGAGGAAGATTATGCCACGGATGACTTTATAATCATGCTCCGTTTGCTCATGATCACTGGGTTTCAGTATCCGCATGATTACTCCATCCATCTTCCATACTATCACCTGCGTCACGTCTTCGAGAGTCAACCAAGTCCGTATGAAATATTCATGCGTAAGGTAACGAAGGTCAGAACAAACATTTCAGTCCCTCAGAGACAATTTTTATATCTCAGAACGCGGAAAAATGACGTCTATATCTGCAGAATAGCTTGAACATGAAAATATTAACTTTGGATCAGTTTCAGTTCATTGAGAAAAGCAATAAGGGAATCTATTAAGCAATCATCTTACCTTGCTGTCGCAGCCACCGGTAACGAAGGTGCTGGGCGCACAGAAGCATACGCATGTAACGTCATCAACATGACCTCTCATATTCTTTTCAATATTCTCTGTAGCAACCCAAACAGTATCCGACCACAAGCATACCTGGAAGATGCATGCACGGTAAATTTTGAACAGTAAAAGAAATCTATATATATATATATATATATATATTGTTCCCCATGATTTAATGCACACAATTAATTTGTAAGTATCATTCGTTCTCATCATTACTCTCGTACCTTCTTATTCCAACCTCCTGCAGCCACGTAATTAAGACGAGAAACATTCATGCATAAGCAACAAGTTATCTCTGCACCCTGTGCCCACAGTTTTAAAATTAGTGTCGTTGAAATCTTGTCTTTAGATAAAGATCTTAGATTGGATATCCAAGAGAACACATCTAAATTGAGGCTCAGAAAACTTGGTACCAAAGCTTCCAATGGAGGTCCGCAGGATAAGTACAAAGAGTTTGATGATTTACTGCAACTGAAAGAATTGGTCGATCATACCTGTCCAAAGCCGACGAACTCTTTTAGGACCTGGCCATTGTTGAAGTTCCAAAAACGCAAACTACCATCCTGGGCTCCAATGAGCAGCCTCCGCAGTGAATGGTCGAATGCCATACATGTAATTTTTGATTTCCTGCACATTCATACTTCGACTCTGGAACTGATCTTTGATTTTGATGTGAATTGTTTCCGATGCAGCACTTCACAACACAAACAAAAACATGCGATACTGTAGCTACAGATCTCTCTCTCACCTGTGAGTGTCAGAGAATGTGAAGATGTCTTCACCCGTGTCCAGATCCCATACCATAACAAGTGAGTCAACTTCTCCAACCACAACCTAATCGTAACAAGATGTTAAAAGCCATGTCAGAAGCAATAGTAGTAGATTTTGGCTTGCTGGGCTCCAAGGTTAATATTTCTTAAGTTTGTTATTTATACTACGTTGATTTCAATCGAAGACTGTGGCTGATCTATGTAAAGAAGAGTTCAAAAGCAAAGTGTCAAGCTAAGACTATTTAGAAACCAAGAGGCGAATTTGCAACAATAACACGTGCTATGGAAAGAAATTTTTACTATGACAGGAGAAAACCTGACGAAACAGAGGATTGTAAATCATTGCAGCAATCTCTGCTGTCCGTGCTTCTCGTGCTCGTCGTTTATGCCACATCTCAAGCATATCACCTCCGGCCAGCAAAACCTGTGTTAAGAGAATGCCCTCAGACACAAGAGTTTGTCCTCGATTTTAGGTGAAGTGTGGAGAATTTGTCTCCGTTACCTCGACTCATCAGATTCGTATTCCATCATTCACTTCGAACATGCTCACAATTTGGTTACTTAATATTTATAAGAAGAACAAATTTCGAAAATCACGGTTGATGGACGTCCGATCTGCTGCTGATTTTCATACAGAACCTCATCACAGAATTTCGAGCAAGTGTAATATCCATCGTCTGAATCACACACAAAAAACCGAGAACATCTGGAGAGGTACAGAACCTCTTTTTGGCTGTCGTAGTATATGGTGGCGCGTGTAGGCTCCCGTTGTGTATTCTCAATTATAGTCTCCAAGCAGCGGCTGCTTCGCATATCCCACACCTTGATTTGGCTGTCGGTAGACATGCTCACAATTTGGTTGTCTATTTCATTGACTTGGACGTCCTGACGAAGAGATGCAGGGATTGTCGATGAATCTTTGAGATTTTCGTGTACTTACTCGCAGCTCAAAGTTACTGCAATGATGCTATTGAGTGCATTCAGGAATATCTTCACTCGTATACTCTTCTGAATCGCCAGGTTGGCTGGCTATTCGGGAAAATGACCATGACTACAAGCTTACCATCACAGAGGCTTCATGTCCATGAAGATATCCCATTGTCTTCGCTGTAAATGGGTTCCAGATATTGATGTAACGTTCCAAACCACAAGTGACGATGAAGTTGTAGCTTCTGAATGTGGGGGTAATGCTACGTCAGTACCAAGATCAGACAAATCATAAAGGGATACCAACAAGACAACACCAACAAGACGCATGAAACCAAAATGGACCTATTCAGTATCGTAGCGAAAATGGAGTATTGATGTTTTGTGGTAAGAATAGCATTCACCTAATTTCCGCAGTACAAATTTCCAATTATCACAACATATATGAATTTTTTAATGCGTATATTCCATTCGCATTATAATTACTCGATGCTTCAGAGAGAATATAATTGTATAGGAGTTGCACCTGCAATAGTCGCATGCGTATATTCCATTAGCATGCTCGTTTCCCGACCATTTTATTTGCCGTTTCTCAAAGTCAAGCATAAGCAATTGACTATCCATGCCAGTGGTAATTAGTGAATTAGAATGCGACAGGTATTTGATTGAAGTCATCCAATCATTATGCAACATCCATGGTGTGTTTTCGGACATTCCCGGAGGCAATTTTTTGTCAGATACTCCAAAGACTTCTCTTGGTCGCTCTCTGAATAGTTTTCAAAAATTTGTTACCGTCACGTCCGTCAGCTTTACATCAAGACTTGCTAGTATACATATTTTGTATTTTGTATTTTTTATTCTTGACTGAGAGAAGAGACGCGACACATCAAAACGAATTGAAAACATATCCCCTTCGATTGAACAAATGTAGACGATTTTCCGTGAATGGATTAACAACTTACCCGCCCCATTCATCATTAAATGTATATGTATGCAAAATTCCTAGTTCATCTCCAAAGAGGAGTTTATCATTCTCAGCGACCCTCAACCAAGTGGCACACATAGGTGCATTCTCCTACAAAACCAATAAGATGATGATTGCATTAGAAATTGCACGTCCCACCAAAATGGTTAGTTCTGAGAAATCTCGCACATGCATTTGAAACAAGATCCATGAAACATACTGTAAAATGTTTGTGTCTTAGCTTGAATGCAGGGTGCAAAAGTTAAGATGAAATACCAAAGCTGTAATGCGGCCTAAGCAGTCAAACGACATCCTTCCTGTGTCATAAAACGTAACACTGCCAAAGCAAACATGAGTATACTCTCTCTCACAAAGACGCATCAAAATGCACAATGTTACAATTTCTGAACAGCATACCTTCTGCAGACCGAAATAGCACTCGTCTGTAAGTTGCATAACGCAAGTGAACACCATGAGTTCGTATTAGTAGTATATCTTACAAGAAAGTGCATGATGTGGTACCCAGTAGAGGTAACAGATTACAGACTATCGTTTTCGTGCAATATGAGGACAAGCCAACAATTTGTGAACCAGCATAACCAAAAATATGTGTTGTACCTCCTATCTAGAGCAAATACTGCCATTGGTTGTTGTGCCATTACAACCATGTCGGTAATCCAGGCTGCAAGCAAGACAATCACGCTTTTGAAGACTATGCTGATACAAGAAGATAAAACTGACACATTTCTATACATAATCTTCAATCAAATGTATAAAAGCATAATGTGAAATGAATCAATGGGAGATAGGGCGTGGAAATTTTTGAATTGGGGAAAATAAGCACAAAACATACCACACAGAAAAAGTTTGTTTCAAACGCACCACCACTACCGTTCGTAATAGTACGCAAGGGTTTCAAATTGTCAGCACTCCAAATTTTGAGCATCCCTTCTTGGGAGGATGAAACGTAGACATTCAAAGATCCTAAAAGCATGATCTGTGTGTTGAAAAAGTCATCAGTAATGCGGCAGGGGAGCCATAAACATATCTATGACTACAGATACAAACACCAGCTATGGTTGGGATTTTGTTACGCTAATATGTGCCATTACATCTAAAATTTAGAATGCGAAATATTCTACATTGGCTGGATGAGTGATTTCTGGTCACAATGAATTTAACAAACCTTTTCTATGATGTTCCTGGGTAGCCCAATTTTATCATTGTATTCCTTCTTTACGGGTTCAGGATTGAACCACAGTTCATCATCTGCTGTTCTTTCTTCCTCATCAGATGGGGCAGATTCGGAATCTTCATAGTCGCATCTACCGTACATTTTGCTTCCAAATGTTGTCACTCTCACGAAGGTTGTGTGTTCGGCTGCAGGTTCGTTTTCTTTTGCAAGCTGTCAGACAATGAAGATGCGACTTGTCCAGATTATCAGAATAATAAAAAAAAACAAGATATAAAGTTTAGAGCCAGTAATAAGAACCTGAACAAATTTGATCTCAGACCTGCTGCAAAAGAAGGTAGCTGGTAAAATCATCAAAACCGATTTCTCCTTTTGAATTGGCATCAATTTTCATATATAGTTGCTTTAGTTGTTCTTCACTGCACTACCAATTATTGGACATTAAATCCCTGGCTTAATGACATCAAGTTATTTCACTCATGGAGATACTACTCTCAATATCAATCATGTTCTCTCTATAACAAAAGCAGAATTTTATCTGTAACAATCTGCAAAATTTATGTGGAATTGGAGACACTAAGATCCAAAACTTCGACTGACAAGGTTTATGTAGTAAGAACCTCATCAGAGCTGTGAGCGTATCGATGGACAAGCATGTCCTCAAGAAGGTCTCCTGCAAATACTCAGGTCGTATTCTTTTCTCAGGGTAAAGTGACATGATGAAGTTCCAGATCTTCTCAAGGAAAGAGTAAAAAGAAAAGACAAAAATAAAATAAAACAACACAATGGATCAAGTGCTGGCTATTGCCACGCACAACACCTGATCTAGAACGCCCCCCTGATCCTCTTCGGCATCTCTGAACACTTTCTTAAGCTCCACAAGGGCCTCAGCACTCATTCCCATTTCTTTCCGGTCAGGCTGTCATGAGAACCAAAACTCGTCAGCAAAGATCTCAGGAAATTGGAAAGTTATGAATTTAATCTTTGCTAGAAGAGCTTGCTGGAGAGAGTCTCACTCACAGGATGAACGGCTGGAGTTCCAGCCATCGCACTCTTCGGATCAAGTGCTGCCTCCTTCAAGGGGATATGTATTTTACCCACAGTCTCATTCACTTTATCCTCTGGACTCTTGTGATAAGTGTGCTGCGATCAATTTGCCCCATCACACCCAGACACAAATATTCAGCAAGAACGCTAAACCATTCAAACAACTTCTTTCCTTCCTCATTTTAACCCAACTCAACACAACTTACGTACTTGGGTTGTTCGAAAAACGTGCAATTACACAGAGTTCAATTACAACGGATTCATTACAACTTCAACCAAACCACCTCTAAATTGTGGGCAGCTGAAGTTTCTGTGCAATGTGCGTTAATAACTTACAGCCCAACTGGACCGCTTGTTGCTGCGGCGCACACCATCTTTATCCTCCATCTCAGCAATATGCACAGTCTGAAGGATCGGCTTCGGTTGTTTGAATCCTAAAACTGAGTATCTATCAACACCTCTGTCCAGTTTCGATGCTGTAGCTACAACATGAATTCTACGAAGGAATGCAATCTCGATGTGGGTTGATGTCTGCAATTCTGCTCCGCCATTTTAGGTTTCGTAACCTCAACAGTCATTGCCAAATTGGTGCCGCATAACCATATTTAGAAAACAACCGCAAACCACGTCTACAGAAGACACTAATCCTGGCCCAATGATTAGTGACTGAATTAGTGACATGAATTTCTGCTAATTGCCCCCCACGGAGGACAGTCGCCTCTGTAAGAAAGGCCTCACCATCACAAAGGCGCTCATGTAACCGAGAGGGCATATTTCATAGGTATTTCGAAGTATTTAATTACTAAAAAATGAATAAAAAAAAAGAAGCTACATCTTTTAGAATTGTATGATCTAGCAAGAATTACTCTTTGCAGTAGGCTGTGTTTTGTTCAAAAATTAACAGATAATTAAGTCATCAATTATGGGTGTCAACATGAAGTTAAATCATGGAACTATTTTTTTAATAATAAACTTGGTATATGAATTTTAAAATAAAATATTAAAATCTAAATTTGGAATTTGAGTTATGAATCAATCTCATTAGGTTCAATAGCCACTTACCAACTATTTAACTTTTATTAAAATATAGTTTCCCAACACAAAGTTCAAGAATAAATGGTTTTAGTACTATTCTGACACCTAGATATGTGGCACAAATAGGGTCATGTGGCATATACTGGTCGGATTGCTTCCAAGTCAGGACTACCTTGTATTATGAACTGTGTGTGCATCTATTCACCTTTCCAACTATCATAGTTCAAAGATTCAAATTCTACAGGCTGTCTTTGACCGTGAATACTAAGAAATTAGAGTTCAAGTTTGATTTTGTGGAATTTCTAAAAGTTCCTAGTGGGCTTGATGAATGGATTTTTGTTTGATTGTTTGTTTGTTTGTGTTGGAGTAGGAATGTGAGAAAGAGGTTCAAACTACAATTTAATAGTATTGAAACTTTGAAAACATTTGAAAAGATTTATTGAAGGGGTGTTTCATCTTAATATTTTGTATGAAAGGGAGTAGTTTTAATATCATTGCATGAGAATATGTCCATATTGTATTGTCAACATTAATATTTTGGGTCAAGTAAAGTTTAAATTTTTCTTACTTTTGGTACTTTGTTTGAATAAAATAACATCAAGATAACAAGAAGTGTGAGGGATGCACAAGGAGTTTGTATGTTGCACAAGTTATCTTCTTACAATGGTGTATTTTGTGTCAAGAGTTTTAATAATGGTTCAATTTTTTGATAAGGTGGTTTTGGAATCTATCTATACAATCTCATATTATGTTGAAAGGATTATAGTTGCAAATATGTATAAGTTTTGGCAAGTGAAAGAATGTATTATTCTAGTGGAGTAGGAGAAAGACACCTAAATATTTTATGCATTGAGACTTATGGTTAAATAGACTATATGTATGAAAAAAAGCTAAGAGTATATATATATATATATATATATATATATGATAATAAGATTATTATAGTATCCTTTTAGTTTATAGTAATTTATTTGTAAAAAAATGTAATTAAGTTTTTAAGGCTATGCTATGACTATACTTTCAAAAAGTTGTTTTCATATAAAATTTTAAAGAATTATCTAATTTAAAACTCTTGAATTTGGTTCTAAATTCCAAAGTCCTTTAGTAAAGTATGCAATGTAAAAAGGATTCCTAGATAAATTCTAAGAGTTATAATGGGACTAAGAGTTACTACAAGAGTGAAGCAAGAGATTGTGACAAAACTAAGAATTATTGTAAGGATAAAGCAAGGGATTGCAATAGAATTAGCAATTGCTATATAAGTGAAACAAGAAATTGCAACAGATCTAAGAGTTTTCAAAGTAAGGGGGTTATACATCACAAACTTCTTTAGATAAATTATCTTGAATAAATATACTTTTAGAAACTTGTGCATTATATATGGGACAAATCTTAGTATTCAGTATAATTTAAGATTTATCTTTTTGTAATAGTAATAGATGTTTCAATTAAGTTTTTATTTTTCATCTTAAAAATATTAATAAACAAGTTATTATTGTTGTGTTTATTAAAAAAGAAATTATAACTATTTGTAAAATTTACTAAACATAAATTTTTAATTGCCTTGCCATTAATAACTATAAAATGTGTAAAGATTTAACAACATATACTTGATGAATCAAATTCTACTTTATATGTACATAAAAAAGAATAAGAACAAGCTTTTGTGCTTCTTGCTATTTTTTAGTAAATATTTACAAAAAATCGTAAAAAATTCACAAAAAATCTCTTATGGTTTAATTTAGTATTTTAAAATTTCTGATACAATTATATTTTTAAAAAATTCTTTATTTAATAGTTGTTAAAAAAGAGCTATTTATATAGTATCTAACAACCAATTTAATTTTATATATTTTTTAAAAATAACATCAACATATACAACTTTAAATTTTCTAAAAATAAGAATAGACGTTCAAAATGAGGTCTCAATCATCACTCAAACTTGTAGACACATGCTAGTTGGCCACCAAAATGTGAGAAACAACAAATTCTATTTATCATACCCAACAACCTAAGAATACCACAATTCTCATATCCACATACAATTATTTTATTGATAGATATATAGTGCTAAAAGTGAGAAGATCTCCTACTAGTGAGACATCCTACCCTCAAAGGTCTTTCTAGAATATGGGTCAACGAACTATTGACCAAGATTTGTACCCCCACGAGCACAGTGCGACCACGCATGTAAAACTTATCTCCCTTCGCTTTACTTTGCTTTTCTTTTGGCAAGGATGCCTTTGTTCTGTTGGGCGGAAGAGCAATCTATCTATGTATCTATCTATAAGTGCTGGTGTGATTCCTTGCGAGAATTTGCAGGTTTCTAATCAGATGTGTAAAAATGACCCCTCCATAGCCCAACACCCTGCTCCCTCACCGCAGGTAAGTTGCATCTTTCTCTTGCTCCACATCTGGACTCTCACTCGCTGACAATTCCACACATCTTAATTTTTTAATTGCAGCAGCGACGATCACCTGTAAATCTATCGCTGATGAGAAGAATGTGACTGTGTCCACATGTCGATGTCTTGTTGCCGAGTCTCCGTCCCATGCAGTCTCCTACAGTCTCGTTTTTTTTTTTTTTTTTTTTTTTTTTTTTTCCTTTTTTTTTTTCTGTTTCAGTTAACCAACTGGATTCGGGGACCATGCTGCGCATATTGAAGTCGTTCTAGGTGTTCTTCCTCGAAGCCTATGCTTTTCTCTCGTTCAACGCCTCATGCCTTGCTTCCCTTGCCTCACTAGCCATCAACTTGAAGATCGTTCTCTCTGCCTTTTGTCTACTCCACCTACAGCGATGTTTTAGAATCGATCCCATGACAAGGCGTCTGCTCCACGGCCGAATTGCCTGTGACGCTCTTGCGCAGCAGCTGGAGCTTTCGTAAAAATTTCTGCATGTCTTCGGTAGACTGGGTTCGCCTCATCGAGCAGTTGCGAAGGGAGCTGTCGACTTAACAGCGGACCAGGATCTCGAGTGGACAAACTTTGTGGTCATCTCGGAGGTGGTGCTGCTCTGTCCAGGTGATATTCATGACATATCGAGTCCGTCCGCCGGTTTGATGAGCTCCGTGAATGGTTTGTAGGATTAAACTGTGCATGTTGATTTAATTTTCCGCTGGAAATAAATATCACGATGCCTCAATTGTTGCTGAAGCTAGAAGATAAGAACACTAAATTGTGCGGTTTTAGAGATCGTACTTTAATCGATCACCTGCGCGTTGTATATCTCTATCCAAAGGCTAACGTAGCTTAGATTGGTCACTTGCTTTTTTCTTATCTGTTTCCAATTCATAAAGGATTTTTAGAATTTTTAGCCGGCGCTGCGATGGCTGGTCAATTGAAAGCGAAATTACCCATTATCCGGGAATTTGAGCTAATCTTGAGCTGACTTGCAACGAGCTAGATAAATTGCTACTACCCACGACGGTTTCCTGTCTTTCGGAACCTGATACCCTAAATCATGGGGTGGATTCCTTTCGAGACCAGATACAATTACGACGAGGATGATTATCGAAGACACCGCATAACTCGCATTTGTCTCTTCCTGTGCGCCGCAATCGTCGTCATCGTGCTCGTGCTCGGTCTGGCGACCCTCATTGTCTATCTCATCCTCCGCCCGAAAGCCACTCACTACAACATCGTCTCTGCCAGCGTCCATACCCTGGAAGTCATCGGCTCCAAGGACCTAACCTACACGTCAACCGTGAACGCGGTATTTATATATGGTCTTGAAGCTCAGAATCCCAACAGCAAGGTCACCATGGAGTACGAAAAGTTCAATGTCCAGACTCTCTACCTGGGTACAGACATCGGCCACAGTAGCGTTGATGGGTTTATACTCGGCTACCGAGGCTCGAACGTAGTCATGATCACAACCTCCGCCATGAACCTGGTGGTGAACAACATTGTCGGCAACACACTGCGAGGCGAAATCAGCCAACAGTGGGTCTTCTTGACGGTGCGAATTGATACCCGAGCACGCGCCCACATCGGTTCTTATACCTCCTTCTGGATGTGGCTTCACTCAGTCTGCGAGATCAATGTCACTCCGCCCAGTAACGGTGTCTCCGGAATGCTGATGAAATACCGTTGCAGAAACACATAGTGATCCATTCAATCAGTTCATCACCGATTCCAGAATACAGTCAACCGCTCGTTCAGGGGGCGTTTCCAGTGTGCGGCTTCGGGTACGTGCGAGAATTTATAATTATGTTTTCTTGCTTGTGTCCAGCATCCAAAATTGTAACCATGAAGAATCCACAAACTTCACCTTGTGTACAGCATCAGGGGTTTCCGAACTATTTGCTCAACTTTTTGCTCAACTTCCTTTTAGGCTTTAAGTTTTGTTGTGAGGATTCTAACTTTTGGTTACTCGTGTGCAGCTTCAGCTTTTGTGAGGATGCAAGGTTTTGATCACACAGGCACATACACACATATTTACATGTAAACAAACTGTATTCAACAATCAAACTGGGAAAGGTGTAGAAGAATACGAATATGAATCGTAGCTGTACAATTAAATCCCTTCTGAAGGAGCTATTGACAGCATATATAGCTGCAAAAGTCAGCTATTTGTTCGACTACTGTGTACTTGCAACATAGGTTTTCAAAAATGAAATTTGTGCATAACTCAACTGGTCTCTGCTCCATTGATATATGTGTTTAATAAGGGGGTTTTGAATTTATTCCCTAAGTTCCGTGTGGCTTAGTCAAGCAAGAACAGTTTGCAATAAATGGTGTTAAGCCATCAACTTCTAATCCTCTTCTTCACATTGCCTATTTATCACTGCATCTCTGCTTTGCACCAGCTGGATGAAACATTGTACGTACCAGTTGTTGGGTGCACTGAAAAATTTGTAAATTTGAAAAATTAAAATTAAAAATTAAAAAATCATGAAACGACAAAGTGCTAGAAGTTGGCATAATATATTGATCCTACCAGTCAATGTCCTATTGTGTATTTTGCTGGTGATGATATAGAGAGGTTGGTGGGACCTGAAAGTTGGAATGTTTTGGGCAGTAACAATAAAATTGTCATGTAAAGCCAATTCAGTACTACTCTTTTGAAACCTTCAAATATTTTATTGTGTTTTTCTATTTTTCTATCTATATATATATATATATATATATATATTTATTTTTGTTGTTGTTGGTGTGGATGATTCCGAGTAACGATTTGTCTTGGATTTTTCATTGAATTTCAAGATTACTAGATTCTTATATCTACATACCATAAACTGATAGAGATTAAAAATTTAATAAAATAAATAAAGAAATATTACAATGAAAATTTTAAAGAATTTTTAAAATATTGGATAGACTATTTGATATGTGTAAGCATTGAAGAATAGCACATAACTATATAAAGATAAATTGCTCCAATTCTTTTAACTATAATATGGTTAATGAAATTTTGTCTTGTGTAAATTTTCTTCTATGTATGTAATTAATTAGTTTTAATGCATTAAGGTTTAATTTTATTATAATTTAAACCAAATTTATAAGATTAAATAAAATATAAAGTTAGAAGATAATTTTTCAACACAATAATAATGTATTTTTATATTAATATTATATACAATAAACATTTTTATTTATATAAATATGTAAAAACTATATATATATATATAGATATAGATATAGATATATTCACAATATTCTATGTAAAACAGGTAGTAAAAAGAAGCTTTATATGTGACTTTCTACCTATAGTTTGATTTATTAAACTTAATCTGTTAAAAATTAATACTTAGACAATAATTCAACAATTATTATTTAAGATTTTATAATAAAAAATTAAATTTACTTTTAAAGCTTAAAAAATAATAATTACTATAAAAATTTAGTGATTATAATTATAATTTAGAAATTATAATTATAAAAATAATTTTTTAAATCCTAAAAAAATACATATATACAAAGCATGGTCATCAATTAAAGGATATATATTTTTTTGCCTAAATAGAGAGATTTTAAAAAGCTTAGAGTAATTGGGATTAAAGCAGGAATTTTAAGAAGTAAAATTAGTAATATTAAAGTAGTTATTTTCAGCACAATGAGAGATTTAAACTTAGGTAAGATAGGGGATCTTAGCTTGGATGATTTTTATTTTTTTTATATCGAAGAGAAGTGCATCATGTTGTACAATTTGCTTATACAAGATGCAAGCCACCTTAAATATACTTGTTTTTTCTTCCCTAAATATATATTTATTTTGTTAAATCATGTCTATTTGTAAATAATTTTTATTTGGATGTAAAAGTTGCATCCAAGGTTAAGTTTGGATTTTGGTCAATTCCTAAGGATACATATGATGAATTTAGAAATTTAATTAGAATATTTTACCTTCATATATTATTTTTTTTTCGAGCAAATGTTTATTTTATCTTATCTATCTTCCAATAAATATAGAATCTAATTCTCATTTTTGCATCCCTTATAAACTTTGATATCTTTTGCTTGTTTGTATGTAAATTTTTACACTTTGGTCTCTCCACAAACTCCACCATACAGTTGATTTTGGTTATTTTATTATTTTTTTCCCTAAAGCTTTCATTTCTAAGTTGAATAATCTTCTATAAAATTTCATAATTATACAAAAACTTCTATTTTTTATTCTTCACCCCTCTTTCTTCTAAAAGAATACTATTAAAAAAAATTCTATTATGAAATAACCATTCACTTCTTTGACTCTCTCTTTAGTATAGTTGCTTCATAATACATAATAAAAAATTTAAAAATTACAATTCTATTGCCTACACATAAAAGAATAAAATTGTCTTTAAAGTAATAATATCAATAACCACATATAGTTCTAATCAATCATTACTTCACTAATTGCAAGCACATTAAGATGCATTTTTAATTTCAACCATGGTCATTGAAAGTAATATATATATATATATATATATATATATATATTGGTCATTGTGGATGTAACTAGGATTTTATTTGTAGTGAGGCCTACATGGCTACAAATATGATGTAGTATGTAAAAGCTTGGTTTGTTTGTGACAAAAATTTTATTTTATTTTATTTATTTATTTATTTATTATTATTATTATTATTATTGAGAGGGTTGGAAAGAAATCTTTCTAGAAAGATAGCAATCGACAAGGTCCAAGAGCTCTTTTAAGTTAGATGGTTTGTAAGGTCCACCTTTGTAACCATTTGAAGGAAAAGAGGTGGAATCAACATATATTGGTTAAAGGAGTGTGCACCAAGAAGAATTTATGTAGTATCATTAGATCAAAGAATAGGCCAAAATCTAACATTTATCAAGTCAATCTAAAGATTTATTCACTATTTGAAAGCTCTACAAAATGTAATTGAAGATCATAAGATAAGATCAATTATAGGTTACATTTTCACATTAATGGATGGTCCTATAAGTTAATAATCTATTCTCCAACCTATACTTAATCTCCCTAATATAAAAGTAGAGTACATAGTTGCTACAAAGACAATAAAAGAGGTTATATGGTTGCAAAGACTTGTACAAGAAATGAGATTGATACAAATAGAATCTTACTTGTATTGTGATAGTTAAAGTGCTATCTTTTTAGCTAAAATCTAAATTTATCGTTCTTGTACAAAGTATTTGATATACAACATTATTATACTTAGGAAATTGAGACTAGAAGTGAGATCTATCTATAAAAGATAGATACCAAAATGAATAAAGCAAACATATTGACAAAATTAGTGCTTATAGAGAAGTTTAGGCCATTATTAAACCTATTGAATATTAGTTCTTGTTGACTTGAAGTATAATGAACACCTTCAAATTTGTCTAAATATATGTATAGAATAGAAGAGAAGGTGGAGATTGTTAGATATGTCTTATATTTTATATTATGTTGTAACAAAATTATATAATAAAAAATAAAAATATGGATTCTATTACAAAAGAATCTAATTGAAAGATATAGTAATAAAACATGAATAAAAGATAAGAAGGTAGTAAAAAATTTTAGTGATAATATTATCTTTTTTATAAAAAATATCTCTTTTTTACTTTATATAAGAAAAAATAAAGAAAATTACAAAAATAAATAATATAATTTCTTAAAAAAGATTTAAGAATGATTGGTAGCAAAAATTATCTTAAGAAACTAAAAATTAACATCTAAAAAAGACCAGTTGTGAATTAAGGTTAGAATCAAATCCTAAGACACAAAACCACGCACTTATGACATTTTGAAGGTTCTTTGGCTAGTCAAAGAGTGGTATTATAGGACATAAATTATGAAGTTTTTTTACTATTAGTTTCAAGTAATTTTGTTGCTAATTAAGTTTTTGAAAGCTTTTCAAAGTGAGATATATTGAAAGACTTTGGAATTTTAAAAAATAAAAAGAAGCTTACATATTCAAAGAACTTAAGGATATTAAAGTAAATTTATGGATAAAATATTTTAAATTTTTTATTGTGCTTTTTTTAAATTTATTTTTTAAATTTAATATTAATTTAACAATCAAATTGAAGGATATTAAAGTTTTATTGGATTAAGATCTCAATTATTTGAATTTTAGAATCAATGAAGTATTCTTTGATTATAAATAATCCTCCAATTTATTAAAGCAAAAAATTGTATAAGCATTTTAAACTTGATTATCTATACTTTTGCCAATTTAAAAAGCAATTAAACGATTCAACAAGGAGTAATTGTTGTATAAAGATCAACATTCAAGTTGAAGAAGGATGACAACCAACATCTAAGAGTATTAAGAATTCATTTTTTTAATTGATAAGTTTGATTTTTTTCAAACTTTTTATGTTTGTTGAAAAAAATTAATTGAAATCAACTATTCAATTAATTGCTATTGGAGTTTGGAAACAACAATAAGAATGTGCTTAGGATTTATTTAGGATTTTATAAAGATTTATTTATGATTTTATTAGGATTTTCTTAGAATTTTTTTAAAATTGTATTAAGATTTGTTTAGAGCTACATCAAGATTTGATTAAGATTTATTTAGAATATTAATTTTTAATATATTTTTAGTATTTTTTATTTATTTAGGATTATTTTTTATATATACTTTTTTAAGGGTTAATTTATGATTTTTTTTTTTTTTTTTTTTTTTTTTTTTGTGATTTCTTTAAGACTTCTTTTGATTTTGATTAAATTTTTATTATGACGATTAAGTTTTAAATGAGATTTATTTAGAATTCTATTAGAGTTGTTAGAACCTTGTTGTAATTTCCATTTATCTTCTATAGCCAAGTGCTCAATATATTGTCAAACAAGGTTTCACATTATACAACAATATCACATGATTGTAGAATGTTACACTGATGCCTATGCATGGATGCAAGGATACAAGCGCTAGCTATTACAATATGATAAACCTTACAAGCAAATAAAACTAGTATGTGTTTTATCTTAGAATTTTTGACATAAAAACCTCAAATTGAAATTTTGGAATAGTCTCTAGAAATTGAGTAGATAAAGTTTTTTCCAATTTTTTGAAGGTATACTTGAGGTAAATCAATTGAATAGTAAAAAAATACTTTTTTTATGCTTAAAGTTTGATTAATAGAAATCTATATTATTAGATGTTATTGTTATTTCCAAGAGTATTGGCATGAAACAAAGTTGATAGACTTAATCAGATTAGCGTTTGTAAACCTTGTCTAAAGAATCAGCAATGTCAAATAGATTAAATTTGAAGGGAGGGGAATGTTGGGATGGGAAAATAATGGAAAAGCAAAACAAGGATGAAGGGTTTTGGATGTAGATATGATCTATTTTTCTAACGATGGTTATGGCAACTGGGTCGATTTAGTAAATGACTCCCACTTTTCCCCAAACAAGTCTTCATGTTAAGGAAATCATTTGAAGCGAGTTGGGAGACCAACCCTCACCTCTCATCAAACCATGTACATACGCGTCCCCAATGAAACTGTACAATCCTCCTTGCAGAGGACGAAGAATATATGGCACTCGCCCGCCTTCCAGCAGGCACACGACGTCGCCGATTTGCGCCTCGGATGGGACCCATCCGATGAACCTCCTCGACGACGTGGTGCAGAATTGTCGATTGCGAGCCATGCGTTCCACTGCCCTAGAAAACATCCTTGCAACTGCCATCTTTACACTGGCATCATCATGCATCAAATGGCTCCTGCGTGCGTCCTCCTCCGCTGGGGCTCTCGACGAGTCGGCGTCATCACTCCCCAAAATATTTCTGATGCATCGCTTCGTATTAAAGTAGTGTCTTGCGAGTTTTTCATTTACAAATATTGGGACCTTGGTGCTGGAATTGATCTGCACCATTCCTCTCCTCGCGCTCATTGAACGCTCCTCTGATAGCCAGGAAGTTCCATGGCGAGAAAAGAGTTTTATGAGCTCGGGCTGGACAGGGATGCTAGAAGAATCAGAAAAGATTCCAGTACGAATCAACAGGGGGTTCCTCGAGAGCCATTCTCGCCATATTGCGTAACAATGAGCGAAAAGAGCCTCGTGATCAGAGCCAAGCGGTTCGAAAGGAAGATTGCCAATCAATGTTTTGATGAACGCCGACCCCTCGACCGCCCCCCAACGCTCCTCCCAGTGCGCGTCTCCATACAGTTCTCTGCAACTAATGTGCGCGGCTTCCATCCAGCTATTCGCTTCGTCCTTGTAAATGCGCACTGGTTTCAGAGAGTCAGAATCAAGTGTGAATTGAAGCATTTCGCGCAGGCCCTTACCAGTGGCCAAGGCGACGACAAAAACAGAGCCCTTAGCTGCGTTTAGCGCTTCGCGCTCAAAGACGCTTGACTCAACCGTGTCCGACATGATGCCGGGTGTTAGGGTTCTGATCGTGTCGCAAAGTATTCCACGAAGTTTGAGCACCCGATCCTGGTTTCTTAGGCGAGAATTTCTCTCATTGCTTGCCCAGGACAGAGCCGGTTTAGTGACGGCACCACTTGCGTAGTATTTGTGCAAAGCCAAAGGGTAGCATTTCATCGGGAGAGTCCAATCCGGGACCCAGGAGGGCAGAGCACTATGCAAGCCAGCTTGTGACAACACATCCAGAGTTCCGTGTTGGAGAATTAAGACTCGCACGAATTCTCGATAGACGTCGCCGTATGAGACATTCTTGGAATAGATGATCTCAATCCCATCCCTGTCGTTGTCGAGCACCAGCCCGAGCATGGCATAGATGCGATCTTTTGGTTCCGTTGCTCCAAAAAGCCGGGTGCTTGCCATAAAGCGGAGAAGATCACCCCTCTCCACTTGCTTGGAGGCCCTGCCGTCATCAATCTGGGAGATCGAGAATTGAGTAAAGCGGCCCAGCCGCTGCGGTTGCTCGTCGGAATGGTCGGTGACGAGATTCCTGATACTGAGAAGAGTGAACATTCGCTCAAGCGATACATCTGCTTTCGACGTATTCAAGAAGACCCCCATCCGGTCGAGGAACTTCACCAGTCCCCTTCGCAGAATGTCCCAGTCCAACTGATTCTTTCCGCAGTAAATAATTATCTTTTTCGCAAGCGCCAACTCCTGAACTATCCATACTCGAGAGAACCATGTCCTCTTGATAAATCTCACGAGTGAAAACCAAGTGTATAACTCTTCAGGTGAGAACCAGCCTTCAGCGTGGAGGTAGTTTACAACACGAAACGCAGCGACGTCCATGGCAGATTCCGGTCCAACCCAGGCGACAACTTGCCGTGCTCGGCGATAAATATAACCCATCATGCCTACTTGCACGTTTTTTCCGTCGTCATTGTTTTGGTTTATGCACACGGCGTCTACCCACAGTATTCTTGGGCAGTTGGGATGCCGGAGTTCCCGCAAGGCCATGGCCAAATTCATGGTAACATGCATTGTGGTTCCGTTGCATCGAATACTCTTCCGCAAAGTCTTGTCACCGTTCTCGTCTGCCCACGTATATGATAACGCTTCGTACTCATCGGGAGAACTCTCTAGATCTCTGCAATGGTGAATGTCACAGCGTAGCTCATTTGATCCATTCTGAGGCGGATGTAGATAAAGCAACCGGATTTCGCGTGAACCCCGGAGCGGCTTATATGAATATTGAGGCACAGCCATTGATACAATATTAAACACAGCAGTTAGAATTCCCCACCTTCGCGTCAGTAGCCATGTGTTGCCTGCTAAACCCTGCAGACCAAAAGCATGAATTAGTAGATAACCCCTCCTCAATGTGAGCTTCTGAAGGTCAAAACCCTAGACGTTTATCTCTATTGTCTTACTCAACTCTTTCAAAAGACGAATGAATTATATTCCATAAAGTCAAGATCACCACCATATGAGTAATAGTGACGAATATATAAACTTTACAAAGTCAGCATTTAAATTCTTCATATCTTAGACTGTACTTGTCTAAGCTTGTGATATATGCATCTTGCAGAGCTCAACGAGATCTTTTCAAAAAGCCAAAGATCGAGTGCTGGTTCTAAGTACTGAGTGCGGTATGGATGATCAAAGCTGATGATTTAGAACTTTGGTGTTCACAGTGATAGTGTTGGCCTGTAAGACCTCTTTACCTGTATTAGAAAGCAAGACCCTGGGTTTAAACCCTAAAGGACCAAGAGAACAATTTTGATCCTCAAAGCAGACTGAAATGCTCCCCCCTCGGTCCTTAAGGTTAAGAAGTCGGAACCAAATTTTCAATCGTATTCAGTACGTATCTTTATATCAAAACTGGCAATGTCTACATTAAACTTCTGGTGGTGATTATTGTTTGCATGTACTGCACAAAAATGGAAAGAAAGGAAGATGACTATTACAGTAAACGAAAGGATTACCTGAACCTTATGTATTAGTTGCGCAATTCCTGCGATCGAACAAAGAGCCAAAAAGAGTATGGCTGAAGCCCAGATTCCATGTCAAAGCTCACTAGTTCCTTCATCAAACTCCACACCCTGACTACGAGTCCTCCAATTAATAGTCTGCAAGCAATGCGAAGGGCAGAGGCGAATATCAAGGCGAACAGCAATAGCTAGACATTCACTTGAAAACCAGATGTTTGCACACAATGCACTTGAATAATTCGACACTGAGAAAGTTAGAGCTCTGACAAATGACTGACCACATAAATGACAGAACCATGGTCGGTGCACATTCATTAGTATCTCGTGCATTTCCATATGAAGGAGGCCGACTTCCCGTCATCGGAAGCGACCTCTGCCTGACGCACAAGGTTGTGCATGGCAATGGCAAATTTAGATCCATGTTGGTAACAGAGGTGGGTGAAGGAGCTTAGAGCTTAGTTGTTTCGTGGGGCCCAACAACACTTGGACCAGGTTGACACGAATCCTAGGTTTATATGGGTTGATGAACAATTGTCGGTATAATTAGTGTGAGAATAGAACGAAAGAATTCTTTTATAAAAAATCAATGTATAGCAATGATTTCAAGAGTTGATACTATTTCTATCAGTCCTTTTATAAACATGAGGATGATTCCCTTAAATAACAATACATACTTGTCTCAATTACTTTCTATTTTAATCATAATAAATTTTCTATTATTAAAGACAAACAAGAAGATCAATTTTAAGTTGAATCCATATTTTTTAAACTTAATCTTTAAATCTTTTTATAATATTTATTATATAAAACACATTAGTGTTGGAACATTCATCCATATTTCATCATTGAATAAAGTTTGTATAGATGATCTAGGATTCAATATTTGTGCCGAATACTCAAATCTCTGTACACATGTATTTAAGATTGCAACAATAGTCTTATAGTAAGGTAGTAAGCCCCTGTTATTTTGTTCATTCATTTTATTGTTCTCTCATGGTATCAGAGCAGGAGATTTGTCCCCTTTTTTTTTGGATTCTATTCTTGTGCTCACTTACATCTCTCTTTTGGATACTTATTTTTATTTTATTTTATTTTATTTATTTTTTGATACTTTCCAACTTTTGTTCTTTTATTAGCAACGGCTTTCTTGACAAAGAAGCACATTTATCCCAAGGGGGATTTAAGTGCTTTTCGAACTTCATATTCAATGATACTAGGAAATAAGCAAAAGTTGGTGTTTCATTCTGAGGCAACATGAGACACAAGCACTAGTCCTCCTTCCAAGGGAACATTGTTTTCTTAAACATTTATTTCTGTTTCCTTTTCTTCAAGATCTCATAGTCTCTTATTTTCTTGCATCTCTTGCAAGGTTTTTTTTATTTTTTATTTTTTTAATCTAATATTTCCTAGATAATCAATCATTACTTAACTCTTATCTTATCATCAACATCATTGTTTTTTTTAGCCCTCTTGAGTAACATGAGCAACCTCAAAACCATATGCTCAGGAGAGACCATGCTCATAGGTTCAAAAAATTACAAACATTGAGCTATTACTCTCCAGAGTATCTTTGAGAAAGAAAATCTTTGGAATCTTATCAAACTACAGTCATCACCAAATGGGACATCTTCTTTAGAACGAAAATCCAAGATATTGTCAAATCTAAATCAATCAAAACCTAATATCACTCAAAGATAGAAACACAAAGCTAAAGCCATGTTCCAAATATCTTTAGTTCCAAATCTTTGCCATAACATCATCGATATATTAGACCCACATGATGCTTCGCGAGCTTTGAGCACTATTAATCAACGACATGAATCTCAAAGAAAAAAAAAATCCTCAATACACTCTTATATCACTGAAAGGAACTAGAAAGTCACTCAAAGATTATATAATATTAAACTAGAATAGCTATTGCCAAAAACAAGAAGATTAAAAAGTCTTGAAATAAGACTAAGGACTAGAAAGGCATTGACAAGAGTAAAAAAAGCTTCACTCTTGCCTCCATATATACTCTTTAATTAAGAGCTACGTTGTCATGATGTAATATGACTAATAGGTGAAAGAGTGTGGAAATTATTGTAATATAGGAGATCTTAGTTCAAAATATTAGAACAAATTATTTTAGAAATATAGTTAATAGTCAAAAGGGTAATAAAACAAAAAGGTACCAATGCTACCTTTTAGAAAGGTGACTTTTACTTTGTTTGTAGGACCATAAGTAAGGCAAAACAAAGTAGATTGGAAAAATAAATGATATAGACATCTTTAGAAGGAAGTTAAGAATAAATTCTAGCAAAATTTACTTAGAAAAACTAGATATTGATACCCAAAGAGGGCCAGTTATGAACCAGGGTCGAAATCAGACCTTGAGGCACAAAACCGAGTCTCGACGACTATTCCAAGACTCTTTAGCAGATCAGAGAGTTGTGTTTGATAGAAGATTAGATAGAATTTCTATGAGCATTGGTTTTGGGTGATTTGGATCTATATTGACTTTGTAAGAGCTTTGCAAAGTTAAGGTTTGTTTCGGATGACTTGGGGTTTGTGAAATAAAATAGGGTTGATATTTCTAGTAATTTTAAGAGTTTTATAATAGATCTATGGATGAAATTTTGTGAATTAATGGTCATAGTTGTGCTTAATGTTTGTTGTAAATCTTAGCTCGATTTAATGGTTGAATTGAGGATTATCGAGGTTTAAGTGGATCAAGGTCTCAGAAAGTAGAATTTTAGATCCAATGAAGGTTTTTAAGATTTCTTGCAATCTATTAGTTGGATTGGAAATTTATGTGAGAGGATATTAGAATTATTTTTCTATGTGTATGAAAATTTTGAGATCAATCAAATGGTAAAAAGAAGAGATATTGGCCCTAAGAGATTGGCATCAAGGTTGGAAAAAGAGGCTGACCAATACCTGAGCACGTTTTTGAGGTTATTGTCTATTTGGTAATTCCGATCCTTTTCAAATTTTTTATGCTTGTTTTCAACTTAGTTTGTAAGAAGTGTGAAAAATTTGAGTTAAGATCAATGGTTCATTCATTAGTTATTGAGGTTTAATTTGTTTTAGAATTTGTTTAGGGATTGGTTAGAGTTGGATTTAAGATTTATTTAGGATTTGATTTAAGATTTAGGATTTGTTTTAGGATTTGTTTAGGATTTGGTTAGGATTTGTTTAGGGTTTGATAAAGTTTAGTTTAGGATTTGGTTAGGATTTGGTTTAGGATTTAGAGTTTGATTAGGATTTTATTTAGAATTTAGGATTTGATTTAGGATTTGATTAGGATTTGGTTTAGGATTTAGGATTTGGTTTAAGGTTTAGAATTTGGTTAGGATTTGATTTAGGGTTAGAATTTGGTTAGGGTTTGATTTAGGATTTGGTTAGGATTTGGTTTAGAGTTTAGGATTTGGTTTAAGATTTAGGGTTTAGTTTAGGATTTAGGATTTGATTTAGAATTTAAGGTTTAATTAGGATTTGATTTAGGATTTAGGATTTTATTAGGATTTGTTTAGGCTTTAAAATTTAATTAGTTTTGGCCTAAAGTTTGAATGAAATTCAATAGCATTTTAATTTGGATTAAATTAAGATTGAATTGAGATGTATTTGAGATATATTTTTGATCATTCTAATATTTTTTTAAGATTTCTTATTGTTTCTTTGAAATTTCTTTGAGGTTTCTTTGAATTTGATTAAAGCTTATTTAGCATTATTATGGTCTAATTAGAGTTTGGTTAGTATTCTATTATAGTTAGGATTTTGTTGTTGCAATTTCCATTCTACCTTCTATAGCTAGGTGCCCGGAGCATTCTCAAGTAAGACTTCACGTATTACGATAATGTAGTGATATTCTATAAGACCTCCAACATGTGTTGACTTTGTTATCCACATGTCTTAACTGTAAGATAAGTTATCCTTATATGTGCCATATAGTGAGCTTGTTTTATAAGCTATTATATGGAATTAACTTGTTTCACAAGCTACCAACATGTAGTTAATTTATTGGCCAAGTTTCTAACTTATAATCACATCTAAAGTCAAAACCGCATCTATAGAGCTTCTAAAAAGCTTTTCTAGAAGACTTTATGAAATCAATCTATATTTACCTACTTCTATCTAATCATATAAATAACTATTGGAATAAATGTATATGTTTGTGACATTACCTCCCCTTCTAAGAACAAATTCTATGAGGAGCGATTATCACCTTTCACGGAACTTTGCTATTTTTCATCTTGATTTTGATGGATGTTGTCAATGAAAGCTTCAACCTTCTTTATTGTATTTGTAAGATATTTTGCTTGTTTCTATGTGAGTTTGCTAATATCATATCCACGCCAATGAATAAGATATTTATTGTCTTGAATCTAAGACTTCTTCCACTTCAAATTCTTGATTATTATCGATTTCTATAAGAGGAGGTGGCATTTGTCTTCTTCCTGAGATATTCATTGTCTCTTATGGCTCAAAAAGAGACATATAAAATATAAGATGGGATCCTCATAGACTTTGATAGTTGTAAACAATAAGCAATAGGATTGATTTGTTTACAAAAAAGAAAAGGTCTCAACTTACAATAGTCTAATTTATCATAAAGATAAGCAGTCTTGATATTGTGATAAAGTAATCATACCTTGTCACCCACATTGAATTATGGTTGTTCTTTGCGATAGGCATCCACATTGGTCTTTTGTCATTCTTAAACTTCTTTTAGTTGGTCTTCTAACAAACGATTTGCTAAATCTTCTACTCCAAGATTATCAACTTTTAAAAAGTCAAAAATATCAATTTATAGATGATAATCATAATTGGCAAAGAAAGATGTTTATCGAACTGAAGAATGTATCAAATTATTATATGCAAACTCTACTAATGGCAAAAGAATTGTCTAATCAACTTGATGATAATTGATGGTACACTTCAAATATTACTCTAAAATTTGATTCACTTGTTCTTTTTACTCATCAGTTTGAAGATAAAAAAGCCAAAGATAGCTTTATATCTATCTTTAGAATCTTGAATAGAATTCTCTAAAATCTTGATATAAATTGAATCCTCCTATCTAATATAATATCGTTTGGTAATCCATGATAGTGATAGATATGGCAATGAAAAGCTTAATTATTTCTTCACCTAAAATAGATTTTGTACATGATACAAAATATGCCATTTTGGTGAAGTAATCTATGATTATGAATAAAAAATCATATAATCATAAACTTGAAAGATTTGTAATAAAATCCATAGAAATAGAAGATCGTGGTTGTTGGGATATAGGCGATGGTTGGAGAAGTCCATAGGATTGATGACAAGGAGTTTTTAATCTTGAACAAATGTTACATGACTGAACAAAGTTTTTTTTATTACCTTTTACATTTTTAGCTACCAAAAATCTCTAGATATAAGCTCTAAAGTCTTGTTGCATCCAAAATAT